TTACTAAAAAATGAAGCTTAAATTGATCCTTTACGCATACACTGTTTGCTGCATTGTATGTAGAAATAAAGTTGTTGCATTACGAAAAAGTCACAAATGCTAAAATTTACTCTCTCCGCTCAAGTCCAAATCGCCATGTTAAATGCAAAATATTGAAGTCAATGCAAGTTCCTTCGATTGGCAATATCTAACCTATAACTCGAATTATAATTAACGAAATAATAATAAATGAAATTACGAAAAAGTCACAAATGCTAAACTTTACTCTCTCCGCTCAAGTCCAAACCGCCTTGTTAAACGCAAAATATTGAAGTCAATGCGAGTTCCTTCGATTGGCATTATCTAACCTATAACTCAAATTATAATTAACGAAATAATAATAAATTAAATTACGAAAAAGTCACAAATGCTAAACTTTACTCTCTCCGCTCAAGTCCAAACCGCCTTGTTAAACGCAAAATATTGAAGTCAATGCGAGTTCCTTCGATTGGCATTATCTAACCTATAACTCAAATTATAATTAACGAAATAATAATAAATTAAATTAAAATGGGTGCAAAATGTGATTTAAAAATTTGTGTTGCAATGCTGCAGTAGTACTTTTAACATAAGAAACAATTTGATGAAGACTTACTGAAACCATCCCAACAGAAATGTTCAACTGTGTACGGAGACGTTTTCAGTAGTTTCAGACGTTTTTTACATTTGGCCCATATCACGTAGCTGTATACTAAAGCACATCGACACATTCATGAATACCATAAAATCGTAAGTCTCGCGGTGATCATGCTTAGAGATACAGTGGCACGCAGTGCCATTTACAAACTTTAGACAATTAAGAATTCCAACAAATCATTATAATATTACGATAAGGAATGTCATCAACAGCCTTACTATTGTTTATTCTTTTACATGGAGGACACTGAGAAACACTTAGAATAATACAGTTAAAGGATACGAGACTTTTCTGGCTGATAAATAATGAAACTTGTGTGCATCACGTTCACTTCATGTGAAGTACATCTTAAATCGCGACACCAAGGCACGATATGACACCAGAGAGACCAAACCCCAATCAGCGATAATAATCAGCACAGAAGGGTTGTCAGAGTAGACTCCGATAACTGATTATGGTGGTAATCGACAAACAGTAATCGGTGATATTTGGCCAGCAAATATGTTACTCCGCGCTTTCCCTACACCTTCCATTGAACTGACGCTTTTTAATAATTTGTTCCAACGTCAAAAGAACGTTGGGAATGATGCGGGGCCTTGAAGTCCTGATTAAAATTTGAGTCAGTAAAGATATACTTGCTGGATACATTGTTTTTCAGTCTTTTTCATTAGTACTGCTCTCAACATGATTATGCTTATAAGTACAAATTTATAAGCGACAGAATTTCTATATAATTATAGAAATTTCCAGGCACGGCATACTAAAGAAATAAAAGTTTGGAAATTTAACCACCAAATATGCCTAGGTCTGGAGCTAAAATTTCTGTAAAATTCAATTTAAGTCAGAACTTAATGGCCGTCATACTCTTCAGATTTTTCCCAAAAGCAACAAGAATGGAGAAAGTTAGTGAAAGCTGAAATATTATGTAGTTCATCTTTTTTCCCTTGGAGGCTAATGGAAGCCGAGGATCAGTCGGACTTCGGCCTTGCTGAGCTTATTGTCTTGGTTCACGTCGCAATGTTTCATCAGGTCGCGCTTGAAGATCTCAACTTTTCTCATCGAATCGGCCTACAGTCGGGGAAAATACGACATTGGTAAGAACATATCCGGAGAACCTTACGAATCTTCACTGTAATAAAGTCAGAGAATAGTGTCAAAAGGGGCGCATTCTTTGGGCCCCTTCTTTTCGAAAAGCATAATGCCCGGCTCGACGTCACTACTTTAAATTTTATTTGACTACATCCCAACTTGCCTAAAAATTACGAACAAGTTGCTAGATAGACATCAAGTTAAAGTTTCAGAATTAAAACAAACTAATTGCTTTTCATCGTGAGGGATTCCGTCATTCAAAGAGTGGCGTCGCGTAGCTGGAGGGAAACATGGTGGGTCATCCAACGTGACGTTAAGCACCCCCCTTTCAAAGAATAAAATTGACCACCACGGGTAATACATTAACTAAAACTGATGTGGTATTAATTCTCAAATCAGGATTCAGCATCTTCGAAAATCCTGGAATCATAATCAAACCGTACTGCCATTTGTGTATTTTGAGGCTCACCTGGTTGAAAGTATCTACACCGCTTGCGCCTTCGAAATCGTGTAGATCTTTCACAAACAAATCGATTTCCACCCCCTCGAGATAACCTGTTCGTCCCTGTGCAAAGTGTCACAACATTATGAAATCATGGGGAAGGTGGCAAGTTTAGTGAGAGGGGTTTGCGGTAGCGCCATGCGAGGATGTCTCTTTTATGAGCGGGCCTATGTGTGGTTCCGGGAGGGTTCTCAACGTTTCGAATAGTGTGTTCTGACAGTCTCCTGATGACGGACAGAGCATACTTTTCAAAACGTTGAGTACCCTCCGGTTCTTTTCAGAACCACACATAAGCAAAAGAGATATCCTTGCATGGCGCTACCGCAAACCTCTCTGATGTGAAAAAGACATTATGCAATGACTCGGCCATTTTGAATTTGAAATTGAGGTTAACTCTTCGTTTTTTGAAAAACTTGAAAGCATCAGTGAAACGATTAAATGAAATTTCTTGCCAATTTAATACCTGCCTTCTTTGATGAATAATTGCACATTTTATGATAAAACATATTTGAGTGTTAAAAAAAGAAAAGTAGGCTTGGAACCCGCTTGATGCAGGTTTCTTGTTTTCGCATTCAACAGGCGGAAACACGAATCAAGAACAAAGTTCTCGGAACAGGGCCATGCATCTCGTCGGGTTTTTGCACGAACACACGGAAATACGCGAGCAATTTTTATTTTGAGCCGCAAAAATAGCAAGATGGCTGACAAAGCCGGATAACAATGGTAAAATTATCATTGGCAATTTTCCATAACCCAGAAATGAATGTTCCTTTTTTCAATAGGAAAGAATGCAACCTAGAAATCCAAACATCAACCAAAGAATAACATGCATGGGCTCCGCCATGTTGCATGTTACTGTAACACCAGCGATAACTGATCGTAGGTTCCAGGCGTTCGAGCGGCCAACCCAGTAACCATTCGAGCTGTTAATGAACGTATAAGCACGCAACGCCCAAACTCAGCAGGCCTACAGATTACAGTAATGGAACAGATATATATATAGGAATCATTTCGTTATAGGAATTGTTTTGTTACGTTTGAATAATGATGATTTGTCAACTAAAAGTGATATTTTCACGATGGTTGACCTATTAGCGTCGTCCAAAATCTAATTCTCGACCCTATTTAACGAAACACTGGCCTCCGTATGTTAATTCTAAAAGTAGCATAAAATGGCAGTCTTTACCTTGTCATAGTGATCGAAGATCTCGTTCATTAGTTGAAGCCTTTCTCTCTCGCTCATGTCCTCAAACTGTAAATATATACATGTTCTAGTGATGATTTGAAAATGAACGTTGAAATTATCACAAAAGCACATTTTCACACGTGACAGACACGAATCTGGAATCAAGGAAGAGCAGAGTACACGGATATGGGTCGTGTATGCGATAACAGATGAGTCCCCCCCCCGCATTGAAATTCACTGTGTAAATATTGATACGTTAGACCGGAGGGGTTCAATTCGACGTCGTGTTGTCTAGAGTGACTTTCTTCTCACACGATTCCCTCTCAATGTAGGAAACTGTGCCAGACACAAGGGCTCGCTCAGGCCAGGCAGGGATTCGTTTGAGAGCGTTTGGGGGATATTGTGTTTCCGTGTGGCTGAATTAAGATCTGCATTGGGGAAACGGAGGGCAGACGACTGAGGTTACTTACCTTGGCCAGTTTGCTGGATGTGATGAGGAAATTCTCCTCCGGTTTGATCGACAGTAGTCTGTGGTAATGAGACATTGAAAACTTATCCACAAAAGTTTGGCTGATTGCAAAAAGTCAAGTTCATGAAAGCATGGAAAGTCAAAATTACTACTAATTGTAGAACATGTTCATGCTTGCAGCGTTGCAGCTAAGCCAAGGAGTAAGATGGATTTAGACAGATTTTCAACCAACAGTAACACCTCAATAATTTCGAGTGTTCAAGAAGTCTTAACAAAACGCTCGTCAGCAGCAAACCGTTGCTTTTTCACTTGTGTGGAAAATTTTTCCTAAACACTATATACAGAAGATATTTCGAACCAAGGCTTGGTAAAAAAATAATGAGCAAAATTTAACCAACATATTCAGTGTAAGTGATTCTTTCACGGCAAATGGTATAAAATACATGTAGATCACTCACTTGGCCATTTCTGTCAAGCTAAGGTGTCCATCGTTGTTCTTGTCAAAAATCTTCAGCTGCACAATCAACAAAATGGGACCTTTTTCATTTTAAGGGTTGCATACGGGCCACAGCCGTTTCTGAAGCACACCTGGCTGTATTGGGGATTGGTACTGGTACACGTTTGCACGGGAAATACCTGCAAAAGGTGGCTGCCAGAGGACACATGACATGCACTTTCTGCAGCCACGTCCACAGTTTTGGACACGGCACTAAAAGGTAAATTTGGACCGGGTGAACTGGTGGGGCATCGCTGTCCATTCATTTATGAGCACAATTATTATCAAACATTAGAAGATCGTTTCTAATACGGCTCAGTCAAAGTACTTTGGCTTGTTACTATTCCAAGTTCTGGTAATCATTTTTGGTAATATTCAAACGACTAACGTTACAAACATACATGGTCCACTTACCATGCCCTGGACATACTCCTCAATCTTCGTGTCTGAGACGCGCTTGTCGTGATGAGCCAGTAAGTCCTTAATAAAGGCCTATGAGAAATTATCACATGCAAGGTTAAGACAAAATCTGATTCCCATCCCATAATAACGTGACTTCAGTTCTTTTTACACCAAAGTCTTCAAAAGTTAACAACGTTTTTTGAAGGTTTTACGTATCGTGTATTTGTATCATTTGTAATTTGTCTTAATGTCTGAAGCCATGTTTTCAAATTGGCATGGAGAAATTATATGCAGAGAAAAACATTCCACCGATAATGAAGCACATTAAAACGTCTCCATTTTACACGGCAAGCAAGTTCGGTGCAACTGACCATACGGATAGTTCGAGTTCAAGCTTTCGTTTGGCTTCTAAGCACGATTCGTCGCAGATAAAGTCACTTCATTGGCTATATTTGAGTATTTACCACAAATTAATGAGAATAAATTTCACAGCAGCACCTACCCCAAGTTCTTGCTTCGTAATATAACCGCTCTTATTCTTGTCATATTTCTTCCACAGCTGAAAGGAAAATAATTGATGCTCAGGACGTTTTCAATGTGACGCAACAAATTCTTCAACAGACATTCTGTCAAGTGTTTTTCCCTTGGGAAATGAGAAGTTTAGAATAACATTTTCATCAAGAAAGTAACATCACAATCATGATATCCACTTCACGATAACTGCAAGCTTACGAAGGACCTGATGGATGAATACGAAGCAGCGTTAACCTTACGCAGAAGGAAGGCAGAGCTGACAATTTAATATCAAGTTTATTTTGCTTTCCTCCGTCCAGTTTTCCCCTGATTTCCTAAGTTGCCAAGTTTTGAATTTAGTTTTGGTTTTGCTGTATATATATACATGGCTCTATTCCTCTTGGGAGAGTGGAACAGGGAGCGTTAGGGGTAGGTCGTCACTCACCGTCATCAGCTCGACACTGGACGTGAGATTCTCCGTCAGTCGAAAGAGGAGGATGAAATTCTCATCCGTAGGCAAGATGTTAGCCAGCTGGGCAAACGCAAACGAATGAAAATATCTTAGAGACGAATATTGCTCATTCCTATTTATTTCGTACTTAGAAACCATCTCAAAGTCGATCGCAACGTGATCGCAAAGTGCAGTGGGTCAGTATGGTTCTTGGAGCTATTACACAGACATAGACCGTACATCATTTATATGTGCATGTATATTACAAACCAAAGTATAAGCTTCAGGGAAAAGCTAGGACCAATCCTCTGATATCCGTAATAACTACACTATTACAGAAAAACAGCTGACAACACTGCAGCGTATCAGTGCTCAGCAAAGCCGATCGAAGTTGTTTACACGCCCAAAACAGACGAGCACGCGATAATAATCACTCAGTAATTATTGTAATAAGATATCAATTTTAAATTCTGCTAATGAACCAAATTCTGCGAAAAAAAAATCACAGCCTATTTGGTCCATCCAGGCTGAAAAAAATTGCACTCAATTGCATTAAAATAGTTGAACTTAAGGAAGGGCCCAACACAACTGACAACCAACAGATAGCCACGCAGATAGGCTTTCAGTAAAGGCAGGACACAAAGGTAGCGGTTGCAGCCCATGTAACGCTCAATCAGAAACTAACAGGCACAAGCAGACAAAGATCCAAAATCACCAACCTACCTCTGTAATGGCTATTCTACCGTCTTTGGCATCGTCATACGATTCCATGAAGCATTCCTTTAGGTCCTCGACCAGCTCGGGAGTAATCTGTTGTACACATGAAGACAGTGCCCACATTATTCATTTTGGACTCCAAAGCAGACGGTTGAAAGAAAGGGTCTCAATTCTCTTTAAGAGGCGCCGTAATCCTGGACGTCTTCAGTCTTTGAGATACTCACCGAGGCTTGAGTCGTAGTCATGAGAAGATCTCGGAAGAATTTGTCGAGTCCTTCATCGTCAATGTAGCCGCTATCTGTATCCAAAGACACACACACACAAAGGGAAAAGTTAACACTTGATGAAAATAAAGATGGCTGTCAGTGTCGCGAATTATGACACGCATGCCAACATCATTTACGGAATATCCTGAACAGAAATTAATCCTCCTTGCTGGGGCATTGGCAAAATCCTTTCAAGGAAAAAAGTGGATCACTGCGCTTTCGACACCTGACAACTAAATTAACAGCAGCTGCCCGTTCTGCAGATTGTAAAGGACAGTCCAATTATGCAGTATGTGCAAAACAGAGCAGTGCCCTAATCGCATGACGTATGCTGGTATGAAATATGACAGTTAACACATGCACGACAACATAAGCAATAACCTGATCACAAAAGCGTAAATTTATAAATATGCATTATGCATATATATGCATAATCATAAACTGTGTTGTCCAGGCAACCGTCTTTGAGGTAATTTTAGATAAAATGACAGCATTGTCGCATTCATTCCTAACAACCTACTCAGCTTCTATAATCACGAACCTGCCAAAGCCAATCGACAATGAGAACAATTAAATGACGTCTAAATCTTGTCAGCCGAAAGAACTTTACATATATAAAAATGTATGAAAACACTACTCTGGATCAAAAATTCCTTGGAAAAAAAATCACCGAAATGATACTTTCTGTAATTTCAGGTTAACACAAGTTGAATTTGAAAATTCAATTCACAATTACACGTGCGTTATCAGCTTACGCCTCTGATATTTTCACTGGAAAAGGGAGGTTTATTCACTACACATGATTATTGTACTTTGATTTGTTTATACACCGTCCGACGCATTTACTGTCGATGAAGCTCAGCAACAGTGTTATTTTATGGACGGCATTCATATTGCTGGGCGAACCGTACAAGTACATGTATTTGTTCATTCAGCATGCAGAGCCCATACTGAGCATGCAAATGGGATGCTTACAGTGTCTAACCCTTAAAATCTGAAAGATGCTTGTTTATGTGTAACAAGTATACATGTTTGCACACTAAAAAAAATTCAACGTTATTTTAAGTGGTTAAATATGGGCAACTTGCAAAAGTGGCCAGCAAAGTCGTAATGTTATAAACAATAAGAACACGATTCTCTTCGACACCTTAGAACCGTGGCACCTCCTCTAAAGTTGAAAATTCATGGAAGAAAAATTGAAAAAAAATGATAACAGTCACGGTGTTTACTTACTGGCAGAGATATCAGAAAAACAGAGCAGCAGTGAGAGTTAAGTCATGAGTGCACCGTCGTGTAGAAGCGCCTTTCCATATCCGCGTCAACACTTGCGCCAAGCGTTGCATATCCGCCAGAATCGCTCCCGGGGCGATTTAGACAACTGAACACAACTCACACGCGTGTTATGTTAATGGAGTCGATATTTGTGTTCGTGAAAGTGAAACGCATGAACGCATCGTGTACGCAACGCAGCCAAAAAACGTACATATGGAAAGGCACCTTTAGATGCTGGAAAAATAAACACACTCACATATGCAAACTAGAGCTACTTAACTTGTCCAGTGTCCGCGGACATTTTTTCATAAAAAACTCTCACTTTAATGAGCCTTAGACTGACCTTGTTTAGTTCGCTTAACCACTGAGCTAATTGCTGTTAATTGCTGGCCTAATTGATGTTTAATAGCAGTGAACTCTTTGGTTGGATGACTTCGAACAGTCTTGGAGGAATATTCTTATTCTTTCATGATCTATAGTATAATACTGCAAGAAAAAGTCGATAGCTTTAACCAGAGTGACGTCACCTGACGCATTTTTACGAACTCTGTTTGATTGGAGCTAGCCACACTGACCTGCCCTAGATTCATTCGCCAAGAATCAATAAATGGAAATGGCAAAGTGTGGCTGGAGTTTTGCCTCGACATCTCCGATGCATGGAAGATCAGCGTCATCCCTGTATCGCTGTTCGGTGCACGCGACGCGTGCCGCGTGTGACTGGATTTCAGTAGCAAGGCTTGCCAAGCGAAGTACACTCATGTGGCTGTCCAGTCACGTTCCCGGCACTGTAATATGGGTCACCCTGATCATGGGTGATTATGTCGACGGAGACAAACAAAAACCCATCGAATTATTAAAACTAGAAATCGATTGCCGAGAGTTCATGAAGCATGCCCGCATGCTGCTCGATTTGACTGAAAATGTAGGCGTCATGGACTGTAGAGTTTTAGAACCAAGAATGGATCTGATTCCAACAACTAGCATTCGGTACCCGTAGCTCTCAACTCCTTTAAATTCTAGCCACTTGTCAGGGTTGAAGCAACTTATTTTTAATCTAAAATAATCATACGATGGCCGCTGTTCTGCTCTCACGCTCACATGTAATCGGCTTCAAACAATGCCTACACAGGCCTAATGCGTTCTAACGGAATGTCAAAAAGTCGGCCAGAATAAATTGTTTGCAGTATTCCATAGCATAAACACGTAAATTGGTCACGGTAAGCCAAATTTAAGTGCGTCTGTGTTTTATTTTATTATTATTATTATTATTATATTTTTTTAAGTTTATATTTACTTATTATTATTTTGAAATGAAATTTTTTAGAAATTAAATTGAAGCACGCCGTTTTCCATTATACTGATACCTGCTTTGAGCCCCGAGCTGGACCAAGATAAGGCGGCACTTTCTTAGCAACGGAGGCTCCTTTGGTCAAACTGAACTTTGGGGGTTCACAAACCGACTAGGAAATGCACGCTTCCGGAACCCTTGCGCGGCCGGCTATGGGGATTTTACATTGGGCCGTCCTATAACGTTCGATAATTTTGGGAGTTGGTCAAGAGAGCTGTTGGTAAGAGAGTATCTGTTGGTCAGAGAGTGGCTGTTGGTCTAAGATTAGCTATAGAGCTAAAAGAAAAAAGTAGTAGCAGCAGCACAAAGTATAATTTCGTACGAGACCACAACATTGGACTGTACTTCATGTACATGTTTTTTATATTTTCGGAAGTGGTGGGTCAATTTTGGCAGAATATTTCCCTTTTAAGTCAGGTGATCTTTCAGTTTCGAGGAAGTGATATTCTATGATATTGATATGATATGTTTATTCATAGTCCGACAAGTAACCACCAGGTACAACAGAGAATAAGTACTGCACATTACGGCGGCTCATTTGTTTCATCAGCTGTTAAGTGATACAAGGAGCAGATGCAACGATGAGCAGCTGTTTTGCAGTTCTTCTCTATTTTACAAGGATCTTGATACATTTGTGTCCCATTTTTTATTTTATAACTATTAATGCTGTATGGTCATCTCTTTATCGTATAGTATTAGCAAACTAGCTATCAGCTATATTGATTTTTCAATTTTGTATTTATTAATGTTTGGGGTTTTTTTGGTAAAAAGGCCAAAGGAGTTTCCCTTTAATGAGATAATACAGCTATTGAACAAAATATTTTACCAAGAACTTTGTACGATTTGCCTTTTAAGGAGTAACTGAACGAAAAACTATCACAATTTCTAAGGTTTTTGCACGATATCCAAGGGGTCCGGAGTAGCCGTTGGTCAAAGAGTAGCCGTTGGTCAGAGAGTAATTGTCAGTGAACATATAGCTGTTGATCAGAGAGTAGCTGTTGGTCAAAAAGTAGCCGTTGGTCCCAGAGTAGCTTTTGGTCAAAGAGTAGCTGTTGGTCAAAGAGTAGCTTTTGGTCAAAGATTAGCTGTTGGTCAAAGAGTAGCCGTTGGTAAAAGAGTAGCTGTCGGTCAGAGAGTAGCTGTTGGTCAAAGAGTAGCTGTTGGTCGAAGAGTAGCTGTTGGTCAAAGAGTAGCCGTTGGTCAAGAGTAGCTGTTGGTCAGAGAGTAGCTGTTGGTCAGAGAGTAGCCGTTGGTCAGAGAGTAGCTGTTGGTCAAAGAGTAGCCGTTGGTCAAGAGTAGCTGTTGGTCAGAGAGTAGCTGTTGGTCAAAGATTAGCCGTTGTTCAAGAGTAGCTGTTTTGCGTATATATTAATAAACACTGTATGCCCAACGCTTGTCTGAGAGCTTGCGAAACAAGTTACAAGCTTACTCGGGTGGGACGAATAATATATACGTTGGGTAAGGGCAAAACCCGTTATATAAATTAACATCTCCCCAACGCAAAAATACTTCTTGAAAATAGTTCGCGTTACCCGCTGCTTCACCTGACTCGGACCCGCCAGCCGACCCTTGCAAGCTCGGTGGTCGAGTGGTTAAGACGTCTGCACTGGTAAGTAGGAGGTCGTGAGTTCGAGTCTCACCCGAGTAAGCTTGTGACTTTTTTCACAAGCTCTCGGACAAGCACTGAGCAATCAGTGTTTATTAATATAAACGTTGGGTAAGGGCAAAACCCGTTATATAAATTAAAAATTATAGTTGTTAAAATCTTTAGGTTAGCTAGGGATTGCCCATGTCACCTGCCCTCGTAAAATTTACCGCATGTACAAACGCTGATGGACTGCATTTTGAGGACGAAAATGCCAACGCAAGAATTTGACTTCTGTTAGATCAGTTTTCCGCTCACTCCGCTGGAACGCATACATTTTTCAGTGTGTCTGATGACTTTTCAGTCCACTGACGAAAGACACCCTTCATACCGGTAATGTTTGTTCTATACCCCAACCAAAAAATAGGAAAAAACATTCTTAGCGAATCAAATCTCCAAAATCATTTTTTTGCAAACAAAGGCGTTTGTACTCTGGCATGCCATGTAAAACTGGTTTCATGGACATTCAACAAACGGCCCCTTATTAATGGATTGACGTGAATTGATATCAGACCAGTTATGAATGAACGCTGCAATCCTTCGAAACGACGTGTATGTGCTAAATTGTATACCCCATCGATTGTTATGGTACCCCTTCACTACAAAACATGGTCATGCGGCTCAAAGTAAAGGCCACCTCCTCGCTAAAAAAAAAAAAAAAGAAAGTGCACACTCCATAAAGCCTTTTTTTCTGCAAAATTGATAAACGAGTCTTGACCCTGAACGTGTAACTGTCAGATATCACTGATGTGTAGCGTGTCTTCATAACGCAAGGATGGTCAGCGACAATTATTGAAGGATATGCCACGATATAAACACCGTGTAGTAGCCACACACGAACTCCATGCCCATAACGCGTTCTTAATTACCCCCTTTTAAATTCATGTACAGCTGCCAATGTACCACGTGAAGGGCAGTTGTGAAGGCATAGACAGAAGGTTAATATTCTACACTAATAATTTTGCACTTCACATAATCCTACCTTGCACTATGCACTATGCTCTATACATCACATCACCATGGAGTTATCATAAAATCATTGTTGTATTAAGCCCAAATCGATGCATTATGCTTTTGCCTCATTATGCAGCAGCGAAGGTTGTCTTTCTGACAGCTGCCGCGCCTATGGTAATGGAATGCTACAACGCGGTAGATATAAATTATGCAACTGTACTACAAACCATTCTGGCCAAAATGAAAACAGTCCGACCACAATGAACAAAACCAGGGATTTATAGATAAGTTTGGCATGGGAATTGATCTGCAAAAATAATCAATCAAAACAATCCCAGTGGATGTTGCAAGTCATTTCGCTTTGTATTTTTAAATTACTTAAACATATAGCGACGATCTTTGAATTAAGTCAATCATTGAACGGGCAGCAACCGCTTCGGAAACTCAGGATTTTTCGTTTTTCACCCTGGCAATTACGTTATTTTTATACACCCTTGTCAATTTTAAGACCACATTAGAAACAATAGTATTATGATGATATGTAATAACCCATATATGAATTTACATTTTCATAATGCGCTGACCACATTAAGTGCTGGTATCTTAACGTAGACTTACTGTTCGAGTCGTAATGTTGCCATATCTCCGCGAATTTTGACGCGTCGATCTTGGTGTTCCCCGACGCCACCGACGGATATTTTCGCAGGAAATTGTCGTAGTAGGACATGCGTCGCGTGCCAGCTGCCATGCTGTTTCCGAGTTCGTCGTCACAAGGGTGCAAACTGGGAAAGGATCCCAAAAATCTGCAGTAACACAATAGTCTGGGGATATGACTGATAGATAACGCAAGCGAACTGCCGCCCGTTGTGTGATGCGATTATGGTAGGAATGGTTGCAGCGCTCGTTCGCGGAAGTCAACACAGCTAGGGGTCTTGATGACAAATGCTGTACGATTGGCGGACGTGCTGTTAATGAATGCTTCGTTTTGGTTGGCCGGTTTTTACGCTGCTCCTGGGACCCACATCATATTTTTTCTGATGGCATGAAAGTCACAAGTTGCACGTTTTGATGAGGTTGGGGCTAGCGAAGCACGTACACATTTGCATATTATAAACAGGTCAAATGATGCTTTCTATCCAAGGGACTTTCTTGGAAGAGTTATTATATTGAAGGGAATGTTTGCACGTGGACAGATAAGCCTTCAGGAGAAGAAAGGGAAAAGTGAAGAAATTTCTGGAGGTATAGAAATTGCTTAAGATATACTTCAATGAGGCTAGATGCCTGATGAAAAATCCGTGACTGTTAGTAGCATCGGAAACCCGCAAACATAATTGAGGCTTGGGAAGTCGGCATTAAACGCCAGTTTAAAAGAAATGAACTGCAATAGTTATGAGTCCGTATTCGTTATCCAGACATTTTGTTGTGGGCCCAAGGTGTGATTTTTTATGTGTGTACTTCGGCTTTCTTGGCCACGTCCATCGGCGTGTTTGCGGCCTAGTTTTATAGGTCCCGATATCTTCGCGAAATCAGAGAGTTCAAAGCTCCTACCTGGCTCTGGACTCAACTGAGGTACTTCAGAACCGGTGTGTAAAAATTTATGTGGGCCCCCCCTACTTCAGCACATTGGGCCGTTCAATATTCCCATCCAAACACAGGTAGAATGTTTTCATGCATAAGCCGATCATTGTTACAATAGCAAACGAAATCGCAGATGTGAAATTTATCACCCAAACAATTTATTTTTGCAGGTACATAGTTTGAGACCAAATGTAGTAAGCTGTGCAGGAAAACGCAGGTACTTGACACTGCTCATTGAGAACTAGAACTAGCCGTAATTTTCAGTTCGATAAAGTGCAACTTTAGCTTAAAAGAACAAACATGATATGCAGCGTGAATTAACATTATATTAACAAACTCTTAAAGTCCCCCCTCCCCCAAATTTTGTCTCCCCGTTTTATTCCCTGTCGCTGCCCGTATGCTGTTTTCATCCCAATTGAAGACTCGGAGAAAGGGGGTATATGGGAATGGAATAATCGAGATAATATTGGGAGACAGGCGAAACATTTCAACATGTTGCCACCGTCTACGCTCATCTAGGCCTATGTATATCCAGCTTTGGGGGGGGGGCTGGATTTGTGGAAACCCAAAGGCCTATATGAATTTTGTGAGCGTTTCGCGGACTAGTCATCAGCTGCTGGTACCTCAAGGGAACAAGACTCAGAAATGTCGCAAAGATCTTTTTATATTGTCTACATTAAATTACGTTATACTCTAAATTGAACTGACGCGTTGAAAGAACAGCACTTCAAACCATGCGTAGACATTACGACGAGCAAAACGGTTCGCGACAATCCATAATAATTAAGGGTTTACACCGTTATAGCTCAAGGTACCCTTCACAATACAATACTCATTGAACTACTGGGGCTGTATATCGATCCGGGCTTCGTATTTCTGCCATTGCAGAGCACTCATGTTCATTCCATCCGTTATGCTGCCAACTCCTTGCTTGGAAACGCACGTTTGTCTTCAGTGTTGTTTGATTTAGTTTGGTTTGATTTGGTTTGGTTTGTTTTGGTTTGGTTTTGGTGCGTTGCGTACACGATGCGTTTACGCGTTTCACTTCCACGGACACAAAACATCGACCCATTAGCATAACACACGTGTGCGTTGTGTTCGGCGGTCATTTTTACGGATCATCACAACGCTCGGCACAAGTATTGACGCGCATAATATGGAAAGGCGCCTTTACATAACTCATTCACCCAGGTCAGTGTATTCATCTTATAAACAATGCCTGGATAAATCCCAGTCATCTGATTGGTGGATCACAGATCGCGTCTTTGAATTATTTATCTTAACGTACGGCGTCGCTGCGCCGCAAAAAAAATCACTCTAATTCCACCGGTAAATGGAAGTTCGCATTGCTCGGTCAAGAGAAATTTCTGAACTCGCAAGAAGTTCAGCCGGAGATTTATTTAAATCATGTAGCCGTTGTATTTAAACAAATGTTCCAAATTTTATACAATGGAGAGAATAGTTTTTTCGGTGACAGGATCATGAAATAGTTTTACCATTGGACTCATGAGAATTGATTATTTTTATTGAACAAAACTCCACGAGCATCTCTCCTACGTCAAGTGGCATTTCAGAATGCTACGGTGATGCCTGTACACACGCGTTAAGACGGATCGGGTCGGACGGGCCGGAAGACGAGACCTTATCTCGAGCCGTTCACGAACTAATATTAGCCCAGCTTCTAAGCGGCCAACACAATATACCTGACGTCTCTCGACAGTTTCTAGCTGCCAAGAAGGCCTTCCTCATGAGTAATTTACTCACCCCTAGGTCGTTCATTTCTTTCAGCTATTTTGATAGTCTGGGCCTCCAGGCTGCCACGCTGATTACTTCTTGCTCTGTTGAGGCCCAGAGAGAAGCCAATTCAACACATGAAATGAAATGGAGATGTCTTGCTGTTGACGTTAAATCTAGCATGCATGGAAGTGCACTTTCCATATACTTCAATCTGTTCAGTGTTTAGTTATGTTTTATATACAGTTTCGACTCAGTCTTCACAAATCGCACAAGGCTGAATGTTTGTTTTCGCTATATTCTGTACATTCCACGTTACATTCCACGCCACTGTAGCCCCCCCCCCAAAAAAAGACCGTCATTTTTAATCCCGAGATTTTGAACATATCTCAGGTGGATGAACATGATGACAAGTCAGGCAGGTCAGCAAGCCGTAGCGATTTGCTCCAACAAAATGTACAGCTTCACGCCCAGAGCACTAGCGTGCTGTACTTAATACTAAATAGGGCATAACCTGATACAGGTAGTGGCAAGAAGTCGCAATGGTCCACGCAGCCAAGCATAACAAAAATAATGCTCAACACGGCTTATTGGAAGACGCTTGCAGTAAATATACCTGTAATGCTTTGACGGTCCATCCGAGAACGGCTGGAGACAAGTTGACATGACATCTGACGTCAGGCTTGGCTAAATATGTCGTGAAAATAATTATTTGCTGTGTATCGCTCGATCGTGAGTAAATAAACACACTTCGCTTACAAGTCGAGGGTCCGGAGAGCTTGAAATTAACAACGGCGAGCTAGTGATGAATTTCGGGAGGCCAGACGACGCGTGCCTCAAGTATGCACCAGACTCCACAACTTTCTATCAAGCAAGTGGGACAAAGATCCCATCTCCTGTCGGCGGATGCGTGCAACATATTCTAGTCATTTATAGGGCTGTGAAACTGAAAGATTACTGAAAGTATGGAAACAGTTCGGGTGATTACCCAATGGTATAATTTAAATTAAAGATCAATTATACCATCCTACACTGTGTCCATTGGGAAATTAGCCCAGTACATTTTGCAATTTTCAATCGATTTTAAGTAGTGGACGTCTTTGGAGGACATGGTTGAGTTTGACTCCTAGGCCAAACAGAAAAATAAACACTTCAAAAGAATTCTCACCGGGTTGGTCACGCCACAATGGCGAATTAGGTACATGTATCTAATTATATACTCATTATAATGTCATCTAATTATATACTCATTATTATGTCATCTCACGGATTGTAGCAAAAGATCATCGCTTCTTCCTTCGTTTTTTTTTGGTTCCTTTGTTTTTCCCGTTCTTCTCATGGTTGTTTACTTTTTCCTTGCAACTCTTGTGTATAAAACATATACGCGTGTATTTTCCAATTCAAATAGCTTATTGAATATTCACTGGTATGTATGCAAATTAACTCATTTATTTTTTCTTGTATTCTTCATAATTTTTCTCGTTAATTTGGTCGTGTATGAAAAATATACCACAAATTCACATATACAGTGTTCAAAGACACATACACTTTGGCATAAATAGTCAGTGTCTGACAGTCAGTATCTACTGTCGACACAATTATTGTGGGCAGAAATGGCGAGGTAAGTGCGACGTGTGAGAGATTACTTTTTTATAGGACAGCTGCGACAAGACCACGGAGAACAGTAATAATTTTGACCCTGCGTCAATAAATTAGCATATGATACTTTTTGAGAAATGTTAGCGGGAAAGGGGAACGGATTGCTGTCCCACGGACGACAGGTGGATCAATTATGTTAATGGCCGAAAATTCGAGCGCGCCTTAATTGTTCAGGGTGATGGTGGATGCAATGACCAGGGCAAGCTTAACGACCCTGCTGTCTCCGCACGCGTGACCGGGACAACAAACGATCGACATTTAACGTCATTGACTGGCGGGGCTTGAATAATGCAGGTGCTGTCTTCCATTGTATTCATTTCTCAGTTTGAACTAAATTCTATTCAGTACATTTTAGATTAATTTGTTGTTTGATGTAACCTTGGGAATTACTGCATTGATTTTGCTTGTATTGATTTTCTTTTCTGTGTACTGTGTCTATGTTTTACGCACAGCTGTTCCAGATACGCCCCTTTCCCAACAAAGCCTGCAAATTCAGTCCTTTCTCTCGGCCAAAAATGACGTCACAGCGTTAGCACGAAAATAATGAATAAGAGCAAATGCTTAGGAAATGTGCTATGAAGACTTCAGCTTACATTTCGTACATACCAATTACCTGCAAACGCCATTTTAGGACGCAGAGTCCGCAACGGAATGATGAATTACCAGTGTGATACATGTATATCGTCCAGGAGAAAAAGAGTCGTATACAATCATTAACTATACTGCCCTGACGCTTTTAGTTCAAAACAATCTATTTTAGTCAGTTTGCAAGCTTTTTCCCAACCACAAGCGATCGATGCCTACATAATGCTGCCCACACACCCTCACATACACACATACAATCCACTTCAACATGATTAAATTCGGTTAATGCTGCTAGTGATTAATTTCTGGGCCCGTGCTCCGAGTGCGCCGTTTGTCAATGTTGCGTGTACCCGACTGTATCCCTCCAATTTCACATTTTCTGTTCCAAAAAGACTTGATGATGTTACCATAAGGATAAACGAGCACAGAGATGTTAACTTCAAATACCATCACAATTTTTCATATAGATTAATTATACGCAAGACTAGCGTTGCCTGTCCTATAGTGTAGCCCCTTGCTTACATCTGATTAAAATTTGCAAGCGGATCACATCAGTCATGTTCCATTATATTTTTTTCTGTACAAAAACATACCGACACGTATCAAGAATATTTAGACTTAAATACTTAGCTTTTTCGTAAATATGGATAGCAAAACCGAAACTTGTAAATGTAACAATTCTTACCACTTAAAATGGATGAATGGATGTTTGGCCAAATTTAGAATCATAAATGGTAAATTCAAATGCTTGTATGCAACTGGACGTAACAAAGCTTTTTTTCCTCTTCAATTTGTGGATGCACCTCCTGGAGTTCGCTTCCCTCTTGTGCATCTTACAAGTCTGCAATGGTATGCATTGGTATTGTCCGCCCATTTCGTAAAAAGCACTTGCAGGCATGCAATGAATCAGGCAATCATTCGGCTCTGCACGACTCGCGTGTCGTCGGCGCTCTCAAAACAAAACACAAAATAAATAAAAACATTTCGGCGTGGCAAGCGAGTTCATCGCCTCAGCCCATTACCTTGTTGTCACAGGTTGGAGGCCGATTGATATTAGCAGGCAACGGTAATGTGGAACGACACATCGATCGTTCTTCAACATCGATCGATCGTTCTTCAACATCGATCGATCGTTACCCTACATCGATCGATCGTTCCCCTACATCGATCGATCGTTCCCCTACATCGATTGATCGTTCTTCAGCATCGATCGATCGTTCTTCAACATCGATCGATCGTTCCCCTACATCGATCGATCGTTCCCCTACATCGATCGATCGTTCCCCTACATCGATCGATCGTTCCCCTACATCGATCGATCGTTCTTCAGCATCGATCGATCGTTCTTCTACATCGATCGATCGTTCCCTACATCGACAGATCGAACTCTTTTGATCGATGAAGAAAGAGCGATGAAAAAAGATCGATGAAGAAAGAGCGATGAAAAAGAGCGATAAAAAGAGCGCTAACAAAAGACCGATGACGAAGAGCGATGAAGCTACATCGATGCCAACGTTACGTGACCTCTTCCAGCACCGAATAACACGTGTTCCCTGTAACCATAGCCCACCAGCACACAAGGCCACCCTTTCATCAAGAAAGTGTTCAAATGAACTGCTTGATTGAGGAAGTTCACTTGCTATTTTCTTGCCAATGTTTATGAAATAATCATTGAAAGCGTTAGCAATATCAATGTAAAAATCAATCAATTTAGCATCACTTCGCGTATAATAGGACGGATTTTGTTTAACTTTCGTTCTACCGAGCAACGAATTAATAAGCTCCCATACATGTACCTTTAACATTATGTCTGTCTTTATTAAACTGTTCACCTAAGTAATTTTCTTTGCCATTTTTATAATACCTGTTAATTTGTTTTAAAACTTTATGTTGGCAGATTTATTATGAACTGCAAGATTCTGAAGATATTTTTATGAAGATTTTTTTCTCTGATTGAGTTATAGATTCCTTCTTTTACCCAACATGGTTTTGACTTATTAATATGACTTCGGAGCTCACACTGTGGAAATTGTTTGTCATACACAATTTAAGAAATTCGCATGGGCCTCATCGACATTATCTGGCGCAAGTTCATCTTAATCTTAGTTAATACTTACAGAGTACCAAAGAAATGTTCACGTTTTTCTATTTTTTCATTTGTAATAATAACAGGTTACAAAACTTCTGAAGTTTCTTTGTATTTTCATTTTAATCCTCTCTTACTCACTCATCGGTCAAACGATGATGTCCAGAGATTGTATAGGCGGTTGTAGTCCAAATGCTACCAATTAATCTTTTGAGGGTGCGCCACAGATTGTCTAAGTGTCTTGTCTTTTTTTCGTGGGGAACGGACCATCACCTTTGAATTTGGCGCACGATGTGTTGTGATCATAAAGTTATACAGATGGTTTCACAAGGCGATTGCGTGGGATGGCTACAAAAATTGTTTCGCGATGCGGAGTCGCTGAAGCCTTAAAGGCGACACGATCAATTAACAAATAGAGAAATAACAAGATGATTATGCGTCGGATTTACATGCGTGAGGAGTTATTTTAAAAGTCGTATTTCACAAAGACCGTATGAGGTGACTTCATCGTCATGGAGGGTGACCGGGCGAGTGTCTCGCAGCACTTAAAACAAAATAAACGGAGGCTTGAAATAATATGGTTGATCCTGTCTTGCCGGTCACACATCAGTTCCATCAAAGGGCAATGATTGAATCTAGGTAAATTGGGATACTTATCGTCTCGCAAGAGGGCGTTTAACACCAATTACCAGGTTGGAAGCACAGTTTGTCCTGATGAATAAAAAATAAAACTTGCATAAACCCCTAAAATAAAGGCGCTTGTGGTTGACAAACTACAGAGTAAAAAAAATGAAAAAAAAAACACACAAAAGATATGGCACAGCATTTAAAACTGTAGTTAGAATCTTACATACCATTAGTGTCATAATGCAGGAAAATCTCCGAGAATTTATCAGCCGTTATGCGTTTGTTGTCCTTCAGATCTGGGTACTTCTGCAAAAAGTTCACGTAACTTTTTCTCCGCTGTTTTGACATGAGGACACAAAATTCAGGCAGGAACGATATAAGAATCCGAGAGACAAGCTTCTGCAAAAAAGACCAGTGTTTAGCAGATGTTGATGTGGACGGTGTCTCTAAACTTATAGGAGTCCCGGTTTAATCGTAAAGGCACAGTGTCGAGTGGTTTAGGCAACGAGGGCGCGTCGTGGACAAGATGCTTTCTCTCGCTTACCCACTCGCACGGAACATGGGATGGAGCGTGTGGGTAGCTACGACTGACGAAAGGGACACACGTCACGTGCTCAGCACTGGCCTGGCTTTTAGCGAATCTGAGTCTTTTAAACAGGTGAATACGACCATTTATTCATGAATATCGAATGACGGAGTTGCTAGGTGAGGGAGGAGGCTGGAGCTGTGGTCAGTGACAAGGCTGAGTAATTGTATTTGTCACCTTTGCTTCCCGTTGCTATGGCGGCATGGCAGTCGAGGTAGTGTTCATCGATTGGTGTGTACACTGGGCATGTGCTGATCCAACCGCACTGTATGACTGAATTAAGTGACCATTTACAAGTAGCTTTTACAATCTGTTAATATTTCAATTTCCTCACACTCAGTGGACCTGTTTCAGTATGGTGCCATTTCCCCCAAGAGGCTCGTTATATGGCTGGGCATGTGCTAATCCAACCACACCGTATGACCGAATTGAGTGACTATTTACAAATAGTTTTTACAATCTGTTAATATTTCAATTTCCTTACACTCAGCGGACCTGTTTCAGTATATGGGGCCGTATCCCCAAGAGGCTCGTTGTATGTGTGTTTTCACGCCTGGCATAGGTAGCTTTTTGTACCATTTGCAAACAATCCACACATAAAACTGTCTTAGCTTCACCTGATGATGTATCGTGCTGTCAGGACTGAACAAGTTCCATTCTTCTGTTCCCGCCGACTAATGAAAGACGGATCATTGGCAAAAAATAATTTTCGGTTGGGAGCGCGATCACTGGGATTCAGTTAATGCCTTACATTACAACTTTTTATTTTCTCTAAATGGAACCTCGTCCCTATGGTGTTAAGCATTGCGCCCTCACGCTACCTGCTCTTTCACCCTTGTATTGGATTACATGTATTCGCAGAGGCATAATTATACCCAATACATGTATTTTGATAAGTAAAAGGATTAGTCAGTGCTCAAGTGCATTTTTTAAAAATCACTTTTTAAAAATAATTGTATTTTGCATTTGCAATAATTGCATTTTTCGCAACTACAGCAGTTTAGAATGATCCAGTGCCTCCGATCTGGGAAACAGCCAGCAATTTTGGGTATTTTTTTTTAGCCCAAACGCTTCGCAATTAACCACATGTAATTGGATTCTAAGTCACTCGCAATCACGTAAATAATTCTTTTTCTTCCGATTGATAACTGATCAGACTTTAAGCATGTACATTTTTATTATGCCGGTATATCCGTCCAAGACGGGGGGAGGGGTTCAGTGAGACTGAATTCCTAACGATGAAGAGCATTCACATTTTTTGAGAACTCCTTATAACATACTGCAAAAATAAGCAGATTTTCTATTTCACTTTTTAAAATATATTTTAGTAATTTTACAGATTTTTAATGAATTAGTAAAAGATAGGCGTGTCATTTAGTCCCTAACGTTAACCCTGAAGTTTGTTTATGGTGAAAGATTTCACATCCGAGGCAGAATCTGCTGCCCCGCCCTAACTCCCTCTTGATGCTGGCTGTTCGACTTTGGTTTCCATTTAATCCATCAATTTGGGCTTCATTGTCAGGGCAAACTTCACACGATCGTGCCCGTGTCGGCGATCCCTTGCATCATGTGTGTCAGTGATCAAGGTCAATGGGGAAAAATACCATTTATAGCCAAGAGCTCAACCTGCCTGTCTTGGGGAAATGGCATTTCATGGAAATGACGACGTGTTTGTTCGTTTTTTGTTTTTCCCCCTTTTTTCACTAAAAAATTGGCGTCAAAACGATTCCAGGACAGCGGCAAAAAGCGTCCGAAGGCTCGGCACAAAGCAAATGTGTTGAGCTGAAGCGTTATCAAAGAAAATGTACTAAGTGGGCGGGGCTGAAACTGGCAAACAAGGCAGTAAACCTGATTGAGCGCCCTCAAGAGTTTGTCTTGCATCAAAATGGCGACTTCCTACTGCAAAATTGCAAGGAGTGCCCTAATTTTTAGGAGACGAGTCTTTGCAAAACTTAGCAGAGCCCAATTAAATCTTAAAAACTCGGTAAGTTATCTCTCTATCGATTAGGCAAGTTTAGGTTTATGAACAGGTTGTAATAGCCAGATCAATAAACGGCCTTGCTTGGCCTAAGGCTAGGCCTAGCTAGGCCCGCTATACTATACGTGCTATAGGCTATGTATAATTTTATTTTCAATAGAAATCGAGCTTAGACATGTCAGACGAGCTGCATCTGCGTGAATGGGGTTCATTACCATTAGCGCCCTGTTCCTATAATAAGGAAACAAAGTCTGCTTTCTCGAAATAACTATGAAGGAACCATTACTCAATCTGGATAGGCCTAGTTTAGGTAAATTATGACAATATTTAAGCAAGAAACTTCAAATTTCTAACCGAAGTTTGGCAAAAGACAACCACCATGACCACTCAGTCAAATCATGCCATTTGGTTTTCATCTGGTTACCTGACTCAGGCATTTTGGATTCATCAAAACAAATCTCCATCTAGGTCAAGGAACTAGATTACCTGACAACATTCGCTTATTTGTCGTTCACAGCTCTTCGGGGTGGTCATGTACACTGCTGTTTTACCCCAATATTTCCCTCAAAAACCAAAAGCCCTGTTCTCTTTTCTTCCTGATATGAAAGAGGACATCACCAACAACTTTTTTAGATAAGTTGTTTCGAAAGAGTAGAATTTGTTCCCTTATAATAGGAACAGGGTGCTATTGAACCCTGCATGAATAGCCCTTACAGTTGTCTAATTTCAATATGATTTTATATACACTATAGGTTGTTAGGGACAAAAGAGATCAGTTGATCATGCATGGTTTGTTGATAATTTTGCTCACAGCAACAATTGTGGAAGATTTTTTCAAAAAAAGGAGGTAAGCCTTCCTATTAAAGAGTTCCATATATAGCCTACAGGAACCACTAATTTTCCCTTAAAATGTATAACTGCCATCAAAAAGTGATAACAATGTCCTAAAAAGTGAAATTTAACTAAGAAAATTCTGAAGTATTTACTTAAAAAACACTGGCAGGTTTTTTCAGACAAGTCTCATATGTTTGTGCACAGGGGCATCAAGTGTTGTCCGTATATGTACTGTAACTTTTTCCAAAAAGAAGTAAGCCTGAAGTTGTAGATTTCATAGGCCTATGGGATCATCCAGTTGTGCAGAGTGATAGGTTAATCACGCAGATCAGCTGAATGAGCCCAGCTGTATGCCTGAATTTGCTTTCTTTAATTTACTGTAGTACCTTTCCTTTTTCATATATACCAGTCTTAATTCTTTATAATACATGCACTTCATTACTTGTACTGAGCCGTTGATCATTTTTATGGAAACGGCGCATTATAAATGCTCCATTATTATGATTACACATACAGTTAAAGAAATCTGACAAGAATCATAGTTCTGTTTTGACCAGTTCAGGATAATTTTTTATGGCAACAATGGAAATGTGAATGCAAAGGATTTTCTATTATTTGAGTCACTGCCCGGTCAGTTCGGCAACTCAAATTGGCATGGCTTGAGACGAACATGATGGCTGACGCACCACATGTCATGGTCTCCCATACAACCGATCAGCTCTTCCCTGGTGTCGACTGCTACGTCTTCCATCAAGACCTTGACCAGAGAACTGACAACTTCTAGCCCACTTGTTCAGGAAATAGATTAAAACAACGTTTGGGATGAACGTTTGGGATGAACATTTGCTCTGCCAAATTGCCTTAGTCTATCTCTCAACCACAGTTTTACACTTACATGTAGATCTTTACATACAACTGTTTATGAATGTAATATGGAAGAAGTAAATTTCTTCTTTTGAAATGTGTTTTAGTTATTCAGGTTTAGAAGAAATGTCATTTCAGAAAGATCTGTCACAAAGTGGCACCTTTTCCTTGCCTGTTCCTCATCTTTAGACATGCAGGATCACCAGAACTCCACCCAGCCACTGCCAGCTTGTCCAATCACGGACCAGCTCCACAGCTGCCAGCCAATCCACGCCAGGTACACTCAGCCAATCAGAGGCCAAGGAGAAGGTCGAGACGCACCCTGTTCTAACCCTCCCGCCGGAGGACCAGGGGGTGAGGGAGCACTTCATCCCCATCTCCCGTCGCTCCCTGGTCCGCCTTCTGATGCAAGAGGAGGGCCTGCTGACCGGCATGGACCTGGAGAAGTTTGAGGAACTTTCTGTATCCCTAGACTGGACCATAATCAACCAGTACCATGGAGTGCTGGCAGAATTAAAGGTACAGGCTCAACAGCCCAGTACTCTTTCTTAAAAGGCGTTTTTCGTTCCCCGAACTGCTTGCAAGTGTTTTTACAAGGATTGATATTTTTAAAAACTACATTTTATCACTGCGTACAAACAATCATCTCAAATCACTTCAAATCATCTCAGATTAGGGGGATATTAAACCAATCCATGAATCCTTGGGGTTTGAACCAGGGGATCAGAAAGATGTGAACCTGAGTGTTTGTGAAACAATGATGTGCTTAGTTTGAACCAAGGAGCTGCTTTTGAATAAGCCTGTTGCAAGTTCAATTTGAATAAAATCTGGTCCACTGAGTTACCTGAGCTAAAGTTTGCCCGGAATCATGAGCTAAAGCAACAGTGTGTTTAGTATGGAGGATTCAAATTAATGTGCTCACTTGAATATAAAGAACTCAGCGTACCAGATTTTATTCAAATTAAACTCGCAAAATGCTGATTGGTATTAATTGAAGTCATTGTTGAAGTCGAGTACTTTTTGAGTACCAAGGTTCTCTGCCAAATATTGAACTGGGTAAGAGGGAATAAAGCTGGAGTACACAGGCATTTGATGGTAACTGCACAAGGTAAGATTACAAACTAAGTGTAAGTTTCGTACACTTTTGGTTCTGATCAGGAAAAAGGTACTCAAAAAGCACTCAGCCAATTACGTTTTGAGTACTTTTGTCCTAAAATTAAAATTTAACTTCTATTAAAGAGTGATAGGCTGATGTCATTATTTTACTTTTTGATTTAACCTTTGTGTATGTACCATCAAATGCCTATGTAAATCGGCTTTGTTCACTCCTAACTAGTTAAATGTTTGGTAGAGAACTTGGTATTCAAAAAGTACTTGACCACAACACTGATCGAAGTTAGAATTTTAGTGTGAGCGTAAAGAATTCTACAGCAAGGGAATGGTATCTAGAAATCATCAGCAATTAGAAATCATGTGTAGAGATTTCAAGTGCATTGAACCATTGTTGTTACTGAGTTTCTAGTTTGTTAGTCAGTAGACCTTTATCATGATGCTGCCATGTTTGGTTTGTTTCCTGTAGACCCATTGACAATAGCAATACAACTTTACTTTTTCATAAAAGGGAACAGACTACTTTCCTTCCAACCTCGGTTTGATTACATTACTTTGAATAGTAAAAAAGCAAGATGGTCCTTGCAAGGGTCAATTCACAAGTGTGGTTACAAGTAACGGAGTGAACAGTAATACAGGAATGCATCTGCCACAGGTTATTTGAGTTGGTGGTTACTTGACTTACGACTGGATAAACTTGCAGAAGACTTGTGAAGTGGCGATACACTCAGCTACAGTACTGATCTCTGATGTTTACTCCTGGCTTTCCTGTTCCCTATAAGCACTTTCAAGTTGATAGGAATGTTCCAAATATTTACATTTGGTAAAAGTATGCAAACTTATTTTCCTTACAATTTCTGTAGCAACTCTTTGATCCAGTCAACCCAGATCAGGACACCATGGCGACAAGGTTTTGGCGGAAAAAAGACGTCCTAGACAGCGAGTTCTGGTTGCTACGGAAGTTGGCTATCGTCATGGGTAAGGCCAACTTTCAGGAGCTGCCCAAAAGTGTGGTTGAGAAGGCTCTCGCTGAGCATGTGTCGGGGGAAGGAGTCAGTGTAAGTGAACATATCAAAATACTTCCTTGACCTCATCTCCTCAGGGTTTTTTCCCCGGGGAAACTTTCCACTTTCTACAAAATTCACCACCAGGTATTATAAACCATACACATGTAGTAGAGACTGTGTAATTACAGTCATGTTGATACCATCAGATTATGCAGTTGTTAGATTATAGTAGATTTAGGACTGATTGGGTTAAGAACTGTAACCATGCCATGTGCATGCTGCAGTATGTGGACTCAATCAAAGTGGGGTCTATTTTTAAATTCCTGTTTTTATTTGAAGTTACAATCACAATCTTTATTTTTTTACTTTTTTTGAAGTAGGTACATAAAATTATGTTAAGACACTTCCTCAAAAGACAATTTGAATATTGGAATATTTGATGTCCCGTTCAATGAAATACCCGGATAATAAGCTATATCACAGTCTCACCAAAGCAGAACCAAGAGGCCTGCCTATATGGTGGTATACTGATTCATTGTTGGTTTTCAGGCCAGGGGTGTGTCCCCTAGTTAAAGGAGGAGGTTTGGAGTCTAACTGATTGTCACTTCTAATCATTGATTTGTTCCCCTACCACATAAGTCAAAAACGAGCAACTGCAAGGAATATAATTGTGGGCCTTTAAACTGTATGCATCAGCTGCCTTTAAGTTTACTCATAATTCCTTCAGAAATATGCTTGGAGAAAGCAATTTTGTAACCAATTAATTGAAGTTTTCCTTTCTTTTTGTGCCATTGATTTTTCAAGTCCTCATATTTGAATTTGACAAGATATGTTTTGACATTTAATAATTGATCAAATATTCAGCATGGCCTTATTTTGTTATTCTGAGAAAAAGGTTGGTGGGAATCATGTCATGTGATATGGGTAGCCAGTGCACGCAGTGACACCATGCACTTCAACAGAAATTGATTGTGCATGATAATTGCAGCCCGTGCCAAATACTTACAAACCTGCACCCAATCATAGTGACTTCTCACCAAAGGAGCATCGTTGCTACGTGTATGTAAAAGCTTACCATTTCTTGTTCCAGCATGTGGCAGATTCCTTTGCGGAATGCAGCTTCTTTTGTGTAACTGTGAAGTCTTGATGTGCTACACAGCACCAAGTAGGTTTTGTTTTTCTTCTCCCTAAAGGTAAGTGTCAACCCAAAGAAGTATGACATTCTCAGGTTCTGGGCTCTTGGCAAGGAGCTGCCCAAGGAGAAGGTGCCTCTGTACAGGCGCCTGTTCTCCTTCCTGTTCTACCGTGTCACTCGGCAGCAGCCCCCAGCTCCGATTGAGTACTACAAGCGGGTCGTCCTGGCTGTCCGCCCCAAGGGTAACAGCAAGCTCATCCTGAAGATGTTCAAGGAGATCCCCACCGGCGGGCTGGAACAGCTGCTGCCCGATGGCAAGATCCAGATGACCCGCTGGGACCAAGGAGTCCTGGCCACCGCCATCACCATCGGCTCACTCAGCCTGCTGGTCAAGGGGGTGACCCTCCTGGCCGACATCAAGCTGGACTGGACGCTGATCACCGCCTCGGTGACGGGCCTGATGGCCCTGAGCGCCTGGAACAAGTACAAGAACCGGCGCACGCGGTACATGATGCAACTGTCACGGACGCTGTACTTCAAGAACGTGGCCAACAACCGCGGTGTCTTGACACTGTTGGTGGATCGTGCCCAGGAGGAGACCTTCAAAGAGGCGTTGTTGACGTACGTTTTCCTCCTGGCCGAGAAGCCACCATCACTTATGTCAGCACCTCCTCAGGACGTAGAGGGAGGCAGCAGTCCACCTGTATCCCTTGGTAGGAGAGTAAAGTACAATAGCAGAAATGTTAACCATTCTGTGGGGCTGCGCGGACGTCTGGGAGTTTCACAAAATAGCAGATAGCAACCACACCACACCAATGAAAGCAACTGCAATGAGCGCGTGCGTATGTACTGATCAAAGAAAAGATTGTGTAATCCGACCCTTGGACTGGCTGGTGCGTGCTTACGTCGCCATGGTCACCTTTGGACTGGCAGGTGCGTGCGTACGTTGCCATGGTCACTGTTTTCACTAGCACAGTACCTGCCATTTTGCGAGAATCCCAGATGTCCGCGCTGCCCCATAAGATGAATCAGTTGTTTAGCATTGTGATTTACAGTTGTCATTTAATCTTCTTCATTTTGACTCATTCAAAATCCAACACGTGGCTTTGCAGTGTGCTAGAGGATGTCTAAGCACATCAGGCAAGCTGTATTTGTTGGGGCAGCTGACAAGTTCAAATGTTGATGATTGTTGGTGTATGGACATGCCTAATCCCAAATTGGTTTGTACACCTGTGGTACATCCTGGATGTCTGTGGGAAAGGATCATGTGTCGAACCTGCTGAATCTGTGTAGCCGGTTGCAGTATGTACCAGTCTGGGTTGTGGCCTTGGAGTGTTGCCAAATTATGAGGTTGAAGGAGAAATATCATGCAAGTACTATACAGACCACTCTCAAAAGTTGCTGTGGCATTCGGCTGTATTTGAATTTTTGAGAAGTTGATAGTGTTTCAAAACTCAGGGTTTCTGCAGAAAAAAATGTAGTGGCACTGGCAAGCAATTAAAGGTTTTTATTTTCTTTGCCATCTAAATCATATTTCAGGTGGGATTCCGGCATCACTACTGGAGCGCAAGGTTGAGAGCTGGGTGCAGGAACAGAGTAAAGCGACCGTCGAGTTTGATTCGGCTGCCGGAGTCAGGCTACTGGAGACGTTCGGCATCCTCCGCCGAGATGAGGAGGACAACCTGAGCGTGGTCAGCGTGGAGGCGGCCCTCCACGGCCTCCCCCGACAACCGTTATCCATGGCATCTCGGGAGGCAGAGCCCGAGATGGAGGAGGGGTACGACAGGGAGATGTTTGAGAGCGAAGATGATTACCGGAAAGAGGAGCGGAGAAATAGCAGATGGGGGTGGCGATGAGGCAGACGAGATGTTTGTTTGGGAGGGGGTGGGCTGGAGCACAAAGCTACTTTTGATGCAAGATGTAATCAGTGGGAGCTTGAGAGGAAGGCTAGCCTTTATGTCAAGGTAGTCAGTTGGGGCTGGAAGGTTAGGTTAGTCATGATGAAAGACATCAGTGAATGCTGTATAGGGCTCTGGACAGAACAGTGTCCTCCCTTGAGTGGAGACAATGCAAGAGCGTCATCCATAATGTACCCTATACTTGGGTTTGTCTGGCTCCCGAATATTGGCAAGAGACACGCACCGTCCATTGCCAATTTGTATCAGTGCAGTTTACTGCCACTTTTGCATGCTGTAGGGTTCCCCCATCATTGTTTGGTAGACTGCCAAACCAGGTCATAACTTGACGTTTTAATTGAGTTGCCCCAAGTGTTTCTACTGGTCCAAAATGTAGGACTCAAATGTGATTCATGTGCAAAGCAGTTTATACACACATGTATGTAGCTGCAGCCAATATCCATAGACACAAGTGTGTACCGCTGGACATAGCCAGTTGGTTTGAGCATCACTTCTGTGTCCATTCTTCTTATGTTTGTTGTCAGGCAGTGCAGCGCCCTCTTTAGTTTGGGAATTGCCACCAAAACTTAAGTCAGTACCACAAATGTGACCCACCATTCCAAAAACAGACTGAAGTTGGTATTAATAGTGGACCATTTCTCTTTCTCCCCCCCTCGTTAATTATCATGCATCAAAGTGATCCACAGTGCAAACTTTTGTCTGCAGAGAACTTTAGTAATCACAGGCAATGAAGGCTGTGGAAGTTGCACTGTTCATAGCATACTGGTGTAATTTTCCAGATAATAGCAAAAAAGAAGCCTTCAGCCTGGTTTTAGAGTTGGCAGGTCACAAATAATTATAGACCACATAGTTATTCCAGTGGTGGGATGATGTCCTTGGGTAGAAAAGTTAGTAAAAAACATGTATTTTGAGGAACTGTCTTAAAAAATGACATATTTTTTAAAAAAATCTTGTTCTTGTGTGTGCCTTGTCCACAGATCCTCTCACATCAAGCCTCGCTCTGAGGAGAAATACAGATACGATGGGTATTGTTGATGCATTATGGGATAATATGGTGGGTGGGAGAGTTGAACATTCTGGAGGCCTGGGGACGCTTCTTAGTCTGCGTTAAGTCCGTGCACCATTGAAAGGAAATGATTTACTTGTAACATGGATTGAGACAAAGCCAGGCTATGGTTGCCATCAAGTTGGTCAAACAGCAGGGAGCATTTTGGGATATATAGGGTGAAAGCAAACCGGATTGAACAACGTTGTTCACAAGAATATTTATTTTTTCTTCTGTTCCTATTTGGCCTGCGGTGCCAGGCCAAGGTTGCTGTATACGTGGACTGGCTTAGCCGTGATCTCGGCTGAGTTTCAAGCCAGGTTAAGATGAGGAATATGTGATCTTGCGATGTCAGCAATATCCATTGGCCTTGCTTCACAGAATTGCAATTGTGTTCTATCTTTCCACCTTGAATGGAAGGGTAAACAGGACTGGCCCCAGAAATTCTCTCTCCTTTCCCCAACAAACCACGCTTCGCATGTGACTAAATTTGTGAGTTAAAGTAGCAAAACAATATAGTAGTTCATGGCACTGATTGCATTGTCAGATGCACAGCAATCCTTGGTTGAGTGTGAATCTAGACTAACTCCACCAAATCCTTCAAAGTCATGCTATGCACGATGTACCTTCCTCAATCCTGCAGATTCCTGAAATTGGACGGATAGTTCCTTCTTTTTGCAGACTGTTAAAAGATGTTCAGGTTGGTATTTAAAAAAATTGAAACATTTGGAATATTGCCAACAAATTTGACAAATTGTGAGATTTTCAAGCACCTAAAATAATTCTGGGGGCCAGGCTATGGCCTTTTTGCCTCCATCTGTGGAAATGTAGAACATTCCAAAAGGATACCAGCTTTACATGTATCATTGTCAACAAGTTAAAAGTTACTGGCTTCTCAATGATCAGTGTAATATCTGTTCCGTTTACTAAGAGTGAAACATGTATCGGAGAATTCCTGGGATTTTTGAGACTTGCAAGTTTTGAATTTGGGAAACTAACAGTGGTGTGAATTGCCTTGACAACATTGTATGAGAACAAAAGTTTAGGCTTGAAAAAAACATTTCCAAAGGAGTGCTTTATATTCAATTATTCATGCATGGGCCTTGTTCCAATGAACCGTTTGGCAGAAAAGTTTTCTTGTTTGCTTGACTTTTTTTTTTTTAACTATTCCCAGTCGTTTACTGAACCGTTTGATTCTAGCAAATATAACAGCAACTTTTCTGCAGAGTAGCCAACCAATTAAGACCCCATTTTAGTTTTTGATTTGTAAAAGTGATTACCAAACAACCTAAAATGTATGTGTTTCACTCTGACTATATTAAAGACCACAGCTCAGCTGTTGGTCACTTTCGCAAACATTGCGAAGAAGTGGATAGGGTACATGTTGGATGGGGTAAAGGCATCCAATTACACTGTAAAAAGGTTGGTTAAAAAAAATGAAAGGCCAAGAACTACATGGTGATGGTATAAAATTACCGTGCTTGTTGTTTAAGTTAAAATTGACCATTTTGGAAGAATTGCCTCAGAGTTCAAGTAGTTAATACTGAGACCGTTATTGGGCAAGAATTGTTTCCTTTTGAGGGGAGGAACTACAACAGTGTTATTCCTTGTTTGCCATAACTCTGCTGCGGTAATAAATGGTTAGGATCAAGATTACTTAATGTAGTATTAGAAAGGCATTCAGCGACAGAAAGGCAGTGCAAGGTGAATTATTTTCACTTCCACAACAGGTTTGATGTAGAAATCTCTGGTGCATTGCACTGTTACCAACAGTTGGGAAATAAATCAGTGTGTTTTCATCTTTTCCTGTTAGCTGCAAGGTTTACATGTTATGAACATTGAAACTGATATTTTTTTCGTTGTTTTTAGCAGGAGTGGAGCCAGAGTGAGTAAAGTGATGCATGTATATAAGTGCAAACCATTTGTGTCAGTCGTGACATCAGATGCATGAAACCGACTAATAAATTTATCAATAATTTGATTCAACTTCTTTTGGATGACAGTTTCTTGAAAATGTGTGAACTTTGTGGACTTTTCAGAACTCTTCCCAAAGGAAACTGGAAAGTGAAATGGATTTTTGTTTGTAGGGGAATGAAATATGTAGGCTTGGAGGAAACAACTAAGAGCTTGGGTTGTGTTGAATGCAAAATGATAGGCAAATTCAACAAGTTTCAACTTTTTAAAATCAATGTTGGAAAACAAATTTATTGCTTGTTGGATTATCATCTGACACTGCTCAATTAAAATTCGCTTTGCCAAAGCCAGGTTATTTGTGTAAGATAAAAATGCATCAACAAGGAACCCACATAATTACATACTGACGCAGCCAATGTACTTCACATGAATTTAACAGTAAAGGAAATGAGTCAAATTAAAGACGAGCGTCACAGAAGTTTATGACTTATAAAAGCTGCCTCACTTTCACTTTCAAGTGACTTAGGAACCAACCTTTTAAGCTTTTCAAAGAGAGATTTACATCAGAAAACATGTTTATATTGACAAATAAACCACTGCACCGATACTTCACACGACATTAACACTGTGTGAATAGAACATCTTGGATTGTCAATGCACTTGAAAGGCACAAGTTGTGTTACTCTTGTAAGATAATGAGCTAGTTTAGTGTTTCAAGAGGCAAGGCCATTGGACAATAAACCTTGCAAACATGAACACGTTAGCACATGTGAGTGAAAGCAAATCGCAATTTGCCTATCCTCTGTTTTGCTTTCAAAGCCAAACTTCTCCACAAAGTTGCCCGATGCTATAAAATCCCAAGACTCCAGTTTGCTGTGGTTCTTGACAAAGTCCCTCTATCCTTGCTGGATAGAATACAAAGAAATTCTCTGAGGTATTCACAATGCATGACGTCGACAGCAACAATTGGAAACTGAAGCTACAGTTGTCACTCTCTTTAAAGGCATACAGACTCTCACCTGCAGCTCTAGGGTACTGACACTTGCAGACCAGTGGTGAGGAGATGTTTATTGAAGTAAAATCACCTCTTGAACCAAGGCTACTTTCACCCAATCATCCACTTACTTCATATTCACATTAGTCTTAAATTAATACATAACTGGCACTATAATTTAAAAACAAACTGGCAAGAAAATATCAAATAACACAATAGAAACCTTCAAAAATAAAACCAAAACTTTCCAGTGTTGTCATAACGTAGCAATATCACTTTTTTTTTAAAGTGACCTACAAAGGCACATAACATTTGAGAAGACTTCCTCTTTCAAAAGGATGAAGTTTTTCAGTTGTTTTGACACATCAAATGGGTAATAGATTTACTTAAAAATATCTCCCACAGATGAGTAGTGAAATAGCACTGCAGGCAAAGATGCAAGGCTTAAAATGTATGTGAAGTGAACTTTTAAACAAGCAGTAAACTGAGTAAAATCGTGGCAAGTTAACCCAACATTCTCGGTTGGCAAATAGATGGCTATAAAGGCCTCCAGCTGGTATTAAAGATGCATGGTACAAAACACAGAACATGCAAAGAGGGCTAGTAAGTTGGGGTTTTTGGCCATGTCTTGAGCACTCCAAAACCTGGGTTTTTTTGCCATGTCTTGAGCACTCCAAAACCTGGGGTTTTTTTTGCCATATCTTGAGCACTCCAAAACCTGTTTTTTTTTTCCATGTCTTGAGCA